ATTAATTGTATATTCATAATTTGTGTCTTTATTATTATTATTAATTCAATTATGTTTCAGATTCAGAGAATGGACCACAATTGTGGATTATGGTAATTTAGCAGTTTCATTATTTTGTTTTCCTTCTAGAGATTGTAAGTATGTTTTATTTGTAAAATTTTGTGCTAAATTTAATGTTGTTATTCAATTTAAATTTGTCATTATGCATTTTTATTTTATATGATATACTGTTGAACTTTGGAAAACTTGTTTGAATCTAAAATTGAAGATCTTTATAATAATGTTGTAATGAACCAATGTTCATCGGGGCGGAGTATGTTCCGTCTTTTTGGTAGATAGGTGGCGCTCTTGATGCGCGCCGATGAAAAATATATCACTTGACGCTTGAACATGAAGAATGACGCATGTCATATTTATTTGATGCTTGATTATGTTTCATGGCCGCTATAGGCGGAAGTAATAATATAAGTTTATCGTTAATAAATGTTATTTCTATGTTCTGAAATCTTGAAGTTTTGATTTGAAATTCTAATGCTCTCCCAACCTTGACTCCTGAAACGAAACGATCTTTGAATTATAACTCATGAGAGACACCACACAATTCTCATAATTTTTTTATCAAATCCTTAATAGCCATTTCATTAGCCTAAATTAGTACTTCATCATTTTGTAATAATTTTTTTATTTTTTTAGTTGATACTTGCCCAAAGTTGCAATCAGTTCCTTTTGGTATCAGACAAGTGTTTATCTATTTGACAGCTTCTGCCTTCTTGATCTAAGAGAAATTTTCATTTTCTGAAATATTTGGCAATATATCTGCTAATTTCATCAAAACAATGGATTTAGTTTTTGATTGTTTTCAAACTGTTTTTTTCATGTAAACTGAGTTCCTAATACTTTTTGCAGATTGGTGCAGACTCTGCACCAATAAAAATTAAGCAATCAGGGAAGTGATTCAAGGAATTGCAAACATCAAATAAACTTTTAAAGTTTTAGCATTGGATACAGTTTTATGTTTTACCCCCCCCCAAAAAAAATATACTGCTTTATAAGTTTAACATTTGTGCATGCAACTCACAGAGCAAAGTTTTCTGCTTTAAAGTAACTTCATACATTAATTAAAAAGAGGCAGAGCAGACTGATAAGCATTCAGAAATAATAATATTTTCTTTCTCTCAATAAAAAATTTTTTATTACTTGAAATTTCCAAATTTTATCTTCCTTTGTCATAGTTTCAGTGTTTTAAAGCCACTGCTACATCTTTAATTCTATTAATTTGATGTTCTGATACATCATTTCTGATAAATACTTTAGTGCTAGCCATATATAACCACTGATCCAAGAATAGCAAAATAACAATAACACATCCTATAAACACAATAATTATCTCACAACCGTTAAACCTGTGGCTATCACACTTGCTTATCATACAGATGTTCAGATTGTATCTTAGATTTTATTTCTACTAGTATTTGAAAATAAATGTCCAGAAAGGTTGTAGAGTTTTATTTGTTTTGGAAATGTACGCTTAGTCCAAACTCGATGCAGATCTAAGCAACTTATCGCTTAGGTATAGACAAGCAACCAGAAATGTATGAAGGGTGTAAAGGACCCTTTTACAGTTAAACAGAAAGCACTTCTGGTGCTTACAAACTCAGCCAGCATTTATGACTAGAAATCAAATGTAAGGAATTTTTAAATCTATGTAGAAATTAGCAAAAGACTGCAGAGATTTTTAATGCACAATTAACTCTACACTGGTATGACAGCCCAATCTGCAAGAATAAAGCAATGCTGTAGACAGGAATGCTATCTTAGAATATTAACTACTAATGTTGCCTTCAGTAGGTGGAACACGCTCTGTCTAAAACACTCTCAAACCTGTGCTTAAATACATGTCAGGTAAAATTGCATTGTAGGAAAAGGGAAAGAGAGAAATTACAGTAAAGGTTTGTAACATAAAAAATAACTGATTAGTTAACATAATTACCTTACAAGGTAATGAGTTTAAACTTCACAAATCCAGAAATTCACAATTTCAGGAAGTTAAAAATTTGTACTTCTGGCCATATCCAGACAACAACCACCCTTGCATTAAGCAGATATGAATTTTAACTTACTTATAGAATGAGTGAAATTTTCCAATAGTTTATTCTGAATAAAATCCTGGCAATTTTGCTTTTAATGAAAACTTTAAACTCCCAAAAAATGGTTAATGTTGTTAAATATACGAGTCATGATATAACAGTGCTATTCTTTGGTTAAAATAGCAATGTGATGATTAGAAATAATCATGTTTCTTTCTTCAACTCAATAATGCGCAAGACAATTAAAAGTTATCCATATTAATTAACATACACTTTAATAAACAAACAGAAACTGGTAATGATGGCACATGTTTAAGTTTGCTATTTTTTAGCTGTTATCAACAAATTATTCGTTGTTGTTTCAAAAGCTTTCAGGTAATTTAACTCCCTCTTTAATTCAAATTATTTCATTAAACGAGTATTTTTAATTGTGTTTCATATATACAATAAAATACCAAAATTTTCATATATACAATAAAATACCAATAATCTACAGCTGCTTAATCTGTTGAATGTCTTTAATCCACTCTAATTTTTTGAAATAAATAAAAAAATTCCAATTTTCAGAAATGGAAAATTTAACATCAAGCTTTTCTTAAATTTACGTAAATAAATAATTTTCTAACAAAAATTCATTATATTTATAACTTATTTAATTGAAACACCAAGTAGAAAAATAATTGTATTATTGAAATTATTTAACATTTTCGACACACATCAGTCCAGCACTAACTTTAGTAAATATGGATCAAGAATCTTTGTAAATTTGTGTTAGAAAAATATCTCCTTTTAGATATAACCCCACTATTTTTTAATATTAATCTAATCTTGAGTATATATGATTAATAAGTGTAAAGAATTTATTTGTTCACAATGTTTCAGAGAGTTTTGAATTAAAATATTTCATAGCTGGTTTGTTTGCAGTCTACATAAAAAGCATACTTTTTTATATTGGCAGTGAATATGGACAATTACTAAAAATAGTACTTGTAGAAATTTTTCTGGAAGAAAACTTTAAAATAGAAAGCAGCTCTAGCTCTTTTTGTGACCTGCTAGTACTGCTGTTAATCCAATTATACATACAAAGTATGTAATGGCAGAATTAATATAAGAATTAAATTTAGAAAAAGCTTCATGGAAGGATTTTTCACAAACAGTGCATTTTTACCCACCTTTTGTTCAAAAGGCATCAAAATTTCAGTGTTTTTACAAAAGAGTTCATTACTTCCAAAAAATATTGGGTTTTAACAAAAGTTTAATGCCACTGCAAATAACATCTGCAAAAACAGTTTGCATTGGGATGTTTAATCATATTTTGTCAAATGATTTTTGGCATTTGAAAGAAAGAGACTTGCTTTATAACACTGTATTGTAAAATATATTGCTATCATTAAGTACAAGGTGTCTGAAATAGAACTATCATGCTACCAGATTAGACCCATCATTTACTTCCAGTTCTGTTACAAAAAGTCAGCTACAGAATGTTACCAAATCATAGATGCAGCTTTAGGTACTAATGTTGTATTATATGACATTGTGAAGGTTCGGTAGCGAAAGTTCAAAAACAAAGACTATGACATTCAAGAAGCATAGTGCTCTGACTGGCCTACTGATGTTGGGGAACTTGCGAAAGAAGATAAGTATGCAACTACTCGAGAGTTTGCTAAGGAGTGAAACATTGGTGCTATGTCCATTAGTTGCAGTATTTGTTGTATAAACTTGATGTATAAGTTCAATCGCTGGGTGCCGCATAAGTTGACTGAAGCAGATAAGGACTGATGTGTTCTGGACTGCACTAATCTGCTGGAATATCAACGCAAGGACAAAATTCTGGATCAGATCGTCAAGTGTGATGAAAAGTGGATTTACTTCAATAACACGGGCCAAAAAGAGGGTTGCCGACAGGCTCATCGGTGTTGACAGCATTGCAAAGTGCAATTTGACTAACAAAAATATCATGCTTTTAGTGGGATTACCATGGCATTATCCACAAAAAGTATCTAGAAAAAGGTAACACTCTTGACAGTAAGATGTACAGCGAGATGCTAGTCCATGTTGACACTGCTATCAAGGAAAAACATCAACTGAGTTCCAGTGCAAAAAGGTAATGTTCCATCAAGATAATATCTGTCTGCCTTCACCGGCTGGACTCTGTATGGATTCGAATGGGATCTTTTGCCACACCCATCATATAGCCCCAACATCGTTTTTCTGGACTTCTACCTTTTTTCCCATCTGCAGCTGCATCTTGCTGGGGCTATCTTCCATCATGCCAGGACACCTGAAATGAGGTTGACCTGTTTTTGGACACACGGCCACCAAGTTTCTGGAGCAAAGGCTTTTAAAAACTATCAAAATGTTGGCAGAAAATCATACATCTGGGTAGTGATTACTACCCACACTAAAGGTATTTCTTTTACCTTTTTTTTTTATCAAACTTTATTAAGAACATTTTTGTGGAATACTTTTATTACAAGGTACAACCCAGTATACCTTTCTCATTTATCCTTTCTTTCTCTACACAATGCTTTCACTTTACATAGCACAATTTCTTCAAATACGAAAATATATTAAAAAAACATATTAAATGCTTGATCAAATAATTCTTAATGAACAGATATGCTTAATTAGTTACATAGATGTGCAAATAATCCAACTTTAATGTAAAAGTGGAGAAATGTAAACAAAACTCAGAAATACATGGCTATAAAATTCTCAGTCTGTGCAACCCTTGGTCCCAAGGTATGTGGATTATGAAACTTCTAGAGTATTAACAAAGTAAGAGAGATTTAAACTGTATATAAAATGTGGCATTTTATATTGAAATGTACATGTACAGAACCATTTACATCAATACTGAAAGCAAGTTTTAAATCTAGGGACTAGATCAAACACACATAGTTCTTTACTTACCTCTTCTAACTCTTCCTCATCATACTCTTCTTCATTTTCAGCTTCCTCCTCCTTCTCCTCTTCCTCTTCTTCTGTTTCTTCTTTAGCTTCAAGCAACTTTTACATGAAAAAATTTTATTAGGTTTTTTTTTTTTTTTTTTTTTTTTTTTTTTTTTTTTTTTGCATATATATATGACATAGTAGTACTATAAGCAACCTTCATATAGTATTTAATCTACATACTGCAATTTTTCTTTTATTGATATGAATGATACACATTAAATTCATTTTTTTATTATAGTGAAAATACTAAATCTGTAATCTGCTCAAGATTTTCTTAACCAAAATGAGAATTCTTGCATTTATCCATCAATTTGGAAAAAATAAATGCAACAAGCAGTTAAAGGCACATTAATAAACATATTTAAATCAGTAAGTTTTATCATAAGATTAAAACTCCATATTTTTCTTTTTACCATAATTTGTGCGACCCCCTCCATCCCTACCAAAAGAAAAGCATATACAGAAAAAATTTTTAATCAGGATTCTTAAGCTTGTTATCATAAATGAACACATACAGTTGAAGAAGTTATTTAAATTAGACAGCAATAGCAATCAATCCATTAACTAAACAAACCTTCTAAAACTGTTACATACTACTAGTATTACACATAACTGGCATCTAGTGGTAACTAGTACATAACACATAACTGCATCTCGTGATGAGATTACTTAGTCTGATATAGAACTCACACAGATGTTGAATACTGTTATGCAAAATTCACTAGCAGACACTCTTAGCTTTTCGAAGTCCATTTACACTATGAAATGGTTTTAACTAGCATTCTAACATGTGCCACACCTGTTTCACTGAGGGAGTGTCTTGGAGACCTGGCAGGCCAAGAGACGGTTGTATCGCTACCAAAAGTACATGTTCCAGGCTAGAAAGGCAGCTGCAAAGCCCACAGCAAATGAAAAAGCATGGGAAACAGTATTATAGACATATTTTAACCTTAAAATAAGTAAGCCAATCATAGCACAAGCAGCTTATCTTAATTGGATTTATTGAGAAACATACAAGATTACTTAATAATAGTCTTCCCTGAAAAGAGAGATTTAGATTCTGTATCTAATTATAAAATTTCTAGCTGCAAAAGCATGTAATGTTTTTGCTTGTGCATCTTTGTATTAATTTTGTAATGCTGTATCATACATCATGTTTATTCAAAAATAAATACATTACAAATGAAAGCCCCAAATTATTTTGTAAATGAATTTTTCAACAAATAATTCAGAATAAAATAATGAAATAATCTATTCTCATATCATTTTATATAACTGGATGATAGTCAATGGATATTGTTATGAATGTTGTATTTAGATAGCTAATTCTAGTAGAATTATACTTAAAATTGTTGTATTTCCCCGTGCAATGCAACTTGAGACAAATTTTAGGAGTAAGCTATGCTGGAAAAGTAAAAATACAGGAGCATGTGCATTTAACATTAAATAAATGGATATCCCTGTAATTTGTATTTAAATTGAATAAACGTAATTGACTACTATGTTAGCTGTAACCGTAATTCCTCTTATTGCTTTCCAGAAATTTCGAGAAGCAGAAATTACTAGAAATTTCTTAAGAACCCTGGAAAGCCATAAAAGACAGAGAGAGAGCATCTCAGATAAGTTGCTTAGTTACTGTCATTGCGATTTGTTTAGTTCTGCATGAACTGAGGTATCAGAATTAGCTTTCTCTTTAGATAATGCTTTTCACTCCATTGTATTTTAATGTTCTTAATTGTTTGAAGTATAACTACTGGTTATATTGCACGAAATTGTGAACACTTGTACAAAGCTCTCTGAAGAAAATTCAAGCATTCTGATATATGTTTTTTTGATAAGAGCAAATTTTTATTAACATACTATTGGACTTATGTATTCAATCTATTACGAAAACATATGCAAGCAACAATATATTTAATTATAGATATATTTAAATGATTACACAGATTTGTCAACAGAAAAAAATAGGTGGTATTGAGAAAACAGTGGAAATACATGAAAGTAAATTTGGAAAGTGTAACTATAATAAGAGGCATACAGTTTAAGGGCAATGGGTTTTTGGAAGGATTGAGAGAAAATACAGCAAGCTGTTTTTTAATAACAGTTCTTGATAGGAAAGAGAGCAAATCATTGAGCATTGTTACTGAGTGAATTACTGAGAATGAGATAGTAAGAAAAACATTATGAAGTATAAGTAAGGAAGATTTTGAGTATTTAAAGATAAACCATAGCTTTAATTTTGTTGATATAAATATGGATGTTAAGACACAGGATGCCATTCAAATACAATAGAGAGCATGTGGAAGCATGTAAAAAGCTTCTTGCTAACACATAAATGGCAACTTTTTAACTAAAATTTTATTCAGTATTTTAAACCTTCATTAAATCTTGCAAAAGGCACAGTTGATGGCTTCAGTTTTTAGAAATTACAAGGGATGTAAATTAGGCAGAATTAAAAATTTCTTTGTAAATTTACTAGTATTTTAAAAATTTTTCTCACTTGCATTTCTTTCTCTCTTGTTTTTTGCACCTTTTTTTCTTTCCCCCCTTTTTTTGTATTTTTTATTTTAAACCACATTATAAATTTTTATTTTAAATTTTACAGCTTAAAACATGTATTTTAAACTTGGATTTTCAATTTTACTGCTTAATATTCTTTTTTTTTTTAGTTTTGAAAACATGCTTTTTCATGGCTTGGCAAACTTTCTGTCACCAGAGTAAAACAAATTCACCATGCTGTTCTACATGCAAGGTGTTCCAAGTTTAATAGCAAATTTTTGATAAACAATTATTTACATAGAGAATATCAGTACTTTCTCATTATACACATCCCCTTGAAAAGTATGCATGAGGCAATGTACTACATTGGCAAAATAGAAACCCATGACATTGCCAAAATACATTTATGTGGCAATTCAAGTATGCAGATGCATGCAGCAGACGAGTGACAATTTCCATTATCTGCTTGACAATTTGCTCTTGTTGCACTAATTGCACTTTTTTTTCCTTGTAAGGAATCATAATGGAACTATGATGTTTGCTGGCTGATAAAAAAGAATGTGTTGTATTTTTTCAAAAACATGGTACTTTGCCTAACAGTAGAGAATGCAAAAATTTGCATTCTAGGATGTTGTATATAATAAACAAATTTTATGGATCAAAATTTGTGCACTGATGCTGAATTTGTGCAAATATCTGATGTTTTTAAGATAAAACAGATCGCTGTGTACATGATGAGAACAACACAAAATTGCTTTATTATGGATTTTCTTTGCATTTTTAGTTCCATTAATTAGTTGCTGTTTTATGTAATTCTTAGCGCAGCACCATTTTTGGAAATAGCTGTCATCTTTAACACCTTAGCTTGGCAAAAAATAGTAGGCAACTGTTGCCAATTTTTTGGGAGCAGAGGAAAGCAGATAATCAGAAAGTACCAAAATATCATTATCATATAATTGAAATTGCCCTAAAATCAAATGTGAATTATCATTGCCTTGAAATCAAATGTGATATATGATGTTAAAAAGCATTTAATATTATGAATATGATATAATCATTTATATTGTGTGTATTTTTATGCAATTGTAAGTAATGTTTCTAGATTACCTTGAGTTTCTCAACAACAGCTTCTGCTTTTGTCTGCTTCTTCACTACCTTTCGCTTTTTCTTTTTTGGCTCATCAAACAGTTCTGTAGGAAAAAAAGCCTTATCTGAAAATTAATAAAAGATATATCAACTTCTAGTTTACATAGTCATGTACAGTCTGTATCAAAAAACTAAATTTTGAACTGACACAGGAAATTTAAAATTTGTTGCATTCTTTTTAATAATCTGAATAACGTAAATAATAAAGATTGCAAAAATTTTAATTGGCCAGTTTTTATATATATATATATATATATATTAATTTTGATTTATTTGTTTAAATCCAAAGCAGTTTATTTATAGCTAAAAGGAAAATTACAGTGCTTGCCTATCACTCTCACAACATTTAGATTTTCTTCATCGACACCCAATCAGTGGGCTTCATTCAGATTACTTTCTTGCCATTTCTATCTAGATATACAGTTTTAACATCTCTCCCACCTCTTTTAATGATAAACCTAAATTTTTATACATGTATTATTCTTTTTTAAAATGCACAATTTCAATGTATACTATTACAAATTTTATATTTCTTTTATGTTTTATAAAAGTTTTCTATAGTTTTAGCACACCCTCTTAAGTATTAACATTTCCTAATTCAAGTCTGCAATAGTTTTTAAAGGAGATAATCATAAATTAATAATTAAATTATCCAAGGAGATAATCATAAATTAATAATTAAATTTATATACTGAAGAGGCCCTTTTCTTTCTATTATAATTTTTTTTTTTTTAATTTATCAAACACATGTAATCCTAATTATGCTGTAAAACTCTGACTATATATACATAACAGAGATGGAAATAAAAAGAGATTGAAAAACTTTGCAGAATAAAATTCTAACATAGCAATTAAATATTTTATTTCATTAATAAAATTTATCAAGGAACATTGATAATTACTACATTTTATTTAAATTGCATAAACATACATTCAAAATACAATTTGTACAATATATTTGTTTCAGAAAACATTACTGAAAAATGAAAGGATATATATTGCAATATTTTTTTCCTTTGATAGATCTGCATTATATAGAGGGGGAAAATTAGATACAGATAATGGCTAATAAAAAGAAATAAATATGCCCTGTGGTTTTGGGGAGTATTAAATATATGAAATAAAATTCTAAAAGTATAGAAAGAAGAGAAACTCACAAAAGTACAAAATTTAATTAGGCAAAGCTTAAATTAAGCAAGTATCTATGCCAAAGCTTTGTGTTTGGTATAGATTTTACTTCAGACTATATCAGTTTCGAGTGTGAACAGGTACCGGACTATCTTCATCAGAAGTGAAAAAATTCTGCAAAGAAGGAATGAGACAGTGCCATATTTGTACCAAAAGCAAATAATTAAAGAGAAGAATGTGCCATTTGACCACAGCAATAGAAAAGAAACATGACAAATTAAGTTCAAAGAGTTAAAAAATATTAGGAAGGACTGGACTGGAATTAAGGTCATTAACTAAACAAGATACATCTTTGTGAATGTCATAAGCTTCAAAGAAACCCAATTCATAAATTGAAAAAGCCTTTTGGATAATTTTTGCGGACCTAAAGTCAAAATTGTAATTAAATTTCCAACTATGATTAGTTATTCAAGATTTGTTTATTTCTTTTTTTCAGACATAAAATACAATTTCCTTGATGTAAAACTTTAACTTATTACTTAATTTGGCCAATACATCTCAAGGGCTTTTATTTAACTTTTTGTGTCTTACTTATTTATTAAATATCATGTTCTTCCTGCACTTAACCATAAAATTAAATTTACCAGTAATATCAGGACATATTTAAAAGAGCATATCTTTAGAATTTCTGATACAATCTAGCACGCTGGAGATAAAAAAAATCCTTCCTCTCCATACAGTGTTGCCATTGCTCCCTTTAAAATCACTGAGTTTTTTAATCAAAAACTCATAAATGCTTTATAAAATATGAAACAGATAATAAAACAAATTCCAAATTTGGGCTTTCAGATGCCCACATTCAGGCAGAGATGTATGTTATTCAAAATTTGATGGCTCTAAGTACCATTGTTTTATCACAATGTAAATCAATGCAAAATGCCAAAATGAAATTACAGCCTTTTTTACAGCCAAATTTGGGCTAAAAAAAAAAAAAAAAAAAAAAACTTTGATAGCTAATCTTGATTGGAAATTTAATCACAATTTTGACTTTTGCAAAAAATATCCAGCTTCTTCAATTGATGAATTGGATTTTCTTGAGATTTACCTTATGCACTCCTTCCTAATACTTTCAAAACTCTATTAACTTAGTTTTCATGTTTCCTTACTGTTTCTGTGGATAGACAACACTGTTTTCTCTTTTATTTACCCCTTTGCTTTTGGTATAACTACAGCCCTAAACAAGGCAAAAAAGCTATTAACAAAATATAAAAATTTCCATTCTATCAAAGAAAAATTGCAGCATTGAGATCACAAATGAGTGAAACCTTTGATGACAGTTGACAAAAAATGTCTCCATCTGCATGCTAAAGGTTTATTCTCCAAGAAATGCAGTGAATTCCATTCCTCCTGCTACAGTCGTGGTCAGGAAGTGTTTGACTCTTCTATCTTTTTCACATTTCTCAGACGATGTTCCATCGAAAGCAAAAAATTTGCATTCAAAATCAACCATAAATTTAAGTTACAGTTTCAAGTTAGAGCAATCGAAACTCTCTCCTTATTTACTTGATATGGTAAACCAAGAGCAATTCTCCTACATCCCCATTAAAATATCCTGTGGCCATGCTCTTTTACCCTAAAATTCTTTCCGTTGTTCGTTTTGACTCTTGCCTCAAAATATAAATAATCCACAAATTTCAATAAAATTAATAATTTTATTATCCTATTGAAAAATCCCTGGCTGTTTTCAATTATAAGATATCATGTGCCAAACAATTTTCTCTAAACAAATATATAAGCCAACTTCCAATGAGAAAATGCACTTTCGACAGCAGTTCATTTTGACAACATTTGATAACATTTTTCTAAATATAAGAAATCTGTCACTTAAATTAGTTTTTTCAGCAAACAGAAACAGAATGACACATTATTAAATATATTTCACTGATGATTCAGATTCTGAAAACAAGAACAAGACAAATAAAATTTCATTTAACAGGGGCCCAATTTTGGTGCATACATTTGTCAACAGAAAAATATTTGAAGAAAGCTGTTTGATAATAGTTTGGCTTATTCTAATATTGAAAAGCATTTGACGGCTATTTGCCTAAGGAGAGGGATGCCCTTGCAAAGCAGTTTCTAAGAGAAACTGGCTCATATGTATGTTATACATAGGTAAAACCATGAAAATGCCCATGCACCCAGACTCGCACTAGATGAAAAATGGTAAACTGACATAATAAGAAGTTATGCCAACTTACCAATTAAACTGGTAAACTGAAAAAACTGGAAGTTATTTTTTACTATGCCAGTTTAAATATGCATTTCAGCAGCATAAAGTGAATTTCCCAATATTGTTTAGTTATTTTATTCAGCTTATGGCAAAATATACGAGGATTATCTTCTAATACATTGGAAATTTTACTCAGATTCAAATACAGTAAGACCCCGCTTAACGCGGGGGATATGTTACATCAAAGTAGAGCGTAATGCGAAACAGAGCTAAACAAGGCTATCTTAACATGTAAATAATGGGGTTAGGGGAAGATGGATAGAAAATTGGTTAGGTACTAAATTTAATAATGTTTTTTAATAAAAATAAAATCAAACATTTATTTCTTACAAAAATAAAAACAATATAAATGAATATAAAAACAAATAAAATTCTCAGTCAGATCATTCAGTCTATTCTGTGTTTCCAATTTTCTGCTTTTTTATCAAGAAGGTATTATGATAGATTGGCTTAATGGCATATTGCATTCAATTTCATCGTCAACCCATATAGACAGTCATTTTTCCATTTCCTCTCTATAATATTACTTCTGGAATGGGTAATTCTAGTTGCAAAGCTTGATGTAGTTGCAGTTGCCGATTACAGTATTTTTTCTTTATTCTTAAGAATTGTCCTTATTGTTACAGTTGCCAAATTCAATGCAGCACTAATTTGAGATTGACATTAACCAAAATCTAATCTAATCACTTGCATTTTAGTTTCCAGTGAAATGCTTCTTCTGGTTGCTTTCTTTTCTTTTTTTATTATAACCCATGATAAAAACTAAAGATCATAATATTTGTCACTGTATTAATCATTATAGTATTATATAAATTTATACTTACAATAATGTCAATAAATGTTTCAAATGATAAAAATGCATCTGTACAGCACCGCACCAAACAAGAAACACAACTACACTGTTTTGGATATGTTATTTGGAAAAAACCTAGTGCTGTGCACAATTTTGGGGAATCCCCGTAATGCTGTGAGCAATTTCGGGGAATGCCCGGGTTGAAATAAAAGAGCACTAAACTGAAACAGCATTAAACGGGGTCTTACTGTACTTATGAACAGACTCATTGCATGGGTGTTTCGCGATTTTAACTATATATAACATGGATACGGGACAGTTTCCCTTATAATGTCTTTCCTCTTAGGCAGATGCCTTATCATGCTTTTATATCAATTTACACCGATTCTCAAAGTGTGTTTGTTGAAAGCAATAAATTTTAGAAAATGTCTTGTTAAAAAAAATTAATCAAAGTAAGAAATAAAACTGTAGAATTAATAGAAGACTTGAAAATTAATTGGGTTAAGGTCACACAGGAGTGTTGGGAAATAAAGCTGCAGACAACACTGCGAAGGAAGCAACTAAGAGCGGTAATATAGATATTTTTCCCACCATCTCAATAGAATACATGAAAACATTATTGCAAAAAGAAACAAAGAAAAAAACGGCAGGACCGATAGAACAATGATATCACTGGATGATAATTATTTTGGATTTTTCCTAAAGTTAAGACTATTTATTTACAAAACGTCCATGTTAGGAATTATAATCTAATTGGATATGAATATTTTGAAGTAGATTGATTATGTAGTAAATTTCTAAAATTGTAACAAAGTTGAACTGTATATTTGTGATTACTTATGTAATTTAGTTAG